TGTGGTGTGAACGCGGGAAGCCACTGGTATTCCGAAAATGCCATCTTTACACCTTGATCACAAACCTTCGGGTCTATCGGACCTTCCGCTCTATCGCGGACCTTCGCGTCTATCAGGACCTTCGGTCTATCGGACCTTCGGATCTATAGGCCTTCGGTCTATAGGGCCTTCGGTCTTAGGGACTTCGCGTCTTAGCGCCCTTCGAGTCTATCGACCTTCGCGTTCTATTAGGGCTGTAACCCAATGTAATGCCTAAAAGTGATGAGTAGTGATTTTAACTCTATAGCGCAAATAGACTGGCAGCCAATGCAAATGATATAAAACAGTGCTGCATATATTGATCCAAACTTGGGTACATTTGCATATAAGCCGGCAGCTGCATTTTTGGGGACTCCTGTAACTTATTTCAGTTGTACCTGGGGGCACGCCATAAAGTAAACTATTGCAGCAATTCAACACGACTAGTACAATGAATGCCGTGAATTAGAATTTTTGTTGATTCCGTAGAAAAGACTTCGGATACCTCTAATATTATGAAAGATGGAAAATGCAAGCTACTGCAGAGTTGTGGAGAAACATGAGATCTCCATTCGGTTCTAAGCCGCGAATCAAACAGCAACCCAAGTTTCTGCGTCACGGATACTGGCGAAATGTTACAACTCCAGACAGTGATCATGCTCAATGTCCACTTTGCCACAGATATGTTGCGGGTAAGCTATGATGCAGGAAATTCCGTCTTGTCGTACGTTCAACATTGCCCGAATCAGCAAGCGCATCCAGGTCACGGAATATCTTTTATACCAAAGTTTCCATCGCAAGAGACAGCCTGTTCCTGGATGGCAGCAGAATTTGGATTGAAGGATAGGTACAGTTGGGATGGAGTCATCAGCATAGCAGTGGATATCCGGGAGATGAGCTCTTAAATATGCGAAAATTTTGAGGCCATATATTTTGAAGAGAAAGGCCTAGGCATTGCAGCCTTGTGGAACACGCGCCCACTTGCAGTCGAAGCTGTCTCATAACAAAGTCCCACGTATTGACACGCGCTGTGATCTGTGTGACAAATAGGATGAAAACCAGTCAAGTGCTTTGCCCGTTGCGCAATCCTAGACTGAAGGCTCTTGAGTAAAATATCATGATCGACAGTATCGAAGGCAGCACTGAGATCCAAAAGCACAAGGAGAGTAACTTGCTGGTTGTTCATGTTCATTAATATGTCGTTCTTAACTTTTAACAGTGCCGTTTCAGTGCTGTGTTGTTTCCTGTACGCTGATTGCATGATCGGGAACAGTCCATTCACGGTCATGTGATTGTAAATTTGATCAAATACTATTTTCTCCGTCAGTTTAGACACATAGGTGAGATTGCTGATTGGGCGGTAATTTTTTAAAACAAGGTCAAGGCCCGGTTTTTTCAACAAGGGTATCACGAGTGCTTCTTTCCAGTCCTCAGAAAATGTAGCTGTATCTAAAGAACAGTTGACCAGATGTAATGCCCGTCGTACGCTTTCAGCATTTCCGAAAAATGTCGATCGATTTCCCTCGCCGCGCCCCACCCGGCATCGCGCGCATCCTCACGCCGCGACGCGCTGAGCCCCGGCCGGCCCGCGCCCCGCACGGGCTGAACAAACGAACCGAGCTAGCTAGCTAGCAGCCGAGTGCTGTGTAAACAATCGGCACGATGGCGGGCAATAGTTCTAGCCGCGCTGGTGACCTGGATCAATTGTTCCAGGGTTTGCATGTAATTCATATATACGTATCTCTATGAAAAAATCAACATTTTTCTTCGTACACTTTTAAGGGAGAAGGGGGGTCTCAAAAAAGTGTAAGGTTTGTACGCTTGTGAAAATGTTTATAATTGTGAACGACCCCTAAACAAACCATTCTATGCCAACAAAAAAGTTGAGAAGGTAAATCCAGCTTTAGATGCAGTCACGTAGAGGAAAACATAAGTAACTCAAAGTCAGCGAGAATGGTTGCACGTGTAGGTATATATAGTCATATATATAGTTGTATATGCATGTTTCAAATTTATAATAAAGTCATCGTTCCATAACTTATATATATAGGCCTATGCTGCTTGACTGAATTATTGAGACCGGCAAGGGAACATCACGAGATCGAGCTTTAACCCCCCAACGACAGCGTAACTAACGCAATACAATTAACAGTTAATTTGTTTAATTATAATTTGTTGTTCAATGTCGCGACCATAAACCAACGTTGTATCAACGTCTCATTGCGACGTTAGATTGACGTAGTTAAAAAGACGTATAATAGACCGTTGTTTACGCTGTTCGATGTCGTGACAAAAATCTAACGTTGAATCAATTACGTGTAAATTATTGCGACGTTGAATTGACGTAGGTGAAACAACGTTGAATAGACGTTGGTTTTACCTTGGCGAAGTCGTAACCAAAATCCAACGTTGAATCAACGTCGTGTGCCTGCATGCTGGGCCGCGGGTTTGTGCTGAATACATATCATTCATTATATGGATATAGAATCATATATATATATATATATAGGAGCGTGAGCCAAGAGTTTTAACTAGAATGCCGCGAAATATCAAATAACATGGGCATCTATACAACCGAAACGATCGATGGGCGGCTATATCCTACGTACGGGACCCATATATATGGGCATGCCCATATTCTCCCCATATAGGCAGGCCCATTTGTATCCCATATGCCGAAAACCCACATGGGCCAGATAAGGGATACATATGGGCGAGCCCACATCCAATAGCCCAGCTAAATCCCATATGGGCTCTACCAGGGATGCATATGGGCGAGCCCACATCAAATAGCCCAGATAATTCCCATGTGGGCCCCATATGGGCAGGCCCATTTTTATACCATATGCCGAAAACCCATATGGGCCCCATCAGGGATACATATGGGCGAGCCCACATCTAATAGCCCAGCTAATTTCCTTGTGGGCCCTATATGGGCAGGCCCATTTTATCCCATATGCCGAAAACCCACATGGGCCACATAAGGGATACATATGGGCGAGCCCACATTCAATAGCCCAGATAATTCGAATATGGGCCCCATCAGGGATACATATGGGCGAGCCCACATCCAATAGCTCAGATAATTCCCATATGGGCCCCATATGGGAATGCTACTAGGGATATCGATGCTTAACGGCTCGAGAATTGTCAGGCTGCCTTGGAAAAAGAAGGTATTACATGATAAAAATAGTAAGATAAATTTAAATAAATTATTAGGTTTTTTTTAAATAACACAAAATAAACATTTGAATGCATTTCCAGGATGTCCAGATAGTAGAAGAAGTTGGCACAGACGATGTCTACAATTTCCCAAGTTCGCATGACTCGTCTGTTCCAAACAGTAAGCAAACTTGGGAAATCTCAATATCTTGCAAATATTTTCTCACCTTTTAGGTTAATCATGCATGCTATATAGTGACCATTTAGCAAAAGTCTTGGTCTTCCGACGTAGGTTTATCAATAGTTATAACCCTTTTTCGGTTGCAATTTTGGATTATAATACAAGATTTATCACAATACTTACACATGCCTTAACATATAATAATGACATATTTCACAAATCCGTAGGAATGAAAGAAGTGGCACTGATATTTGTATTTTTAAATATACAACATCACTGTGAGAAGTACAAGCCAGATTTTATGATGTTATTACATAATCGACGTTGGAAAGTCATTGTTATGTTACAGGTGTTACATCAGATGATACAAGTGTTGAGCTGTTCCCTGAACTTAATCCGAGTAAAATCATACAAGGTTTGAACAAACAGCTGTTATGAATGTATAAAACTGAATATATAATGTATAACACTAACAGTGATCATTGTTGGAACTTTTTCGGAATATTTCGTTCGACTAATATACATTAAAGGCAACAATTTTCTATATTAATATAACTGTATTACCTTAAATATTTCTTAAATTGTGCATATTCAAAAATACCTAAATAGTTACTTTCTTCTAAATTTTCCTGCAATATTTTATGTGCCAACGAGTTGTGAATCAATGTTTCATCTATATGGAACTGTAAATGGATCACATTACTGTACTCATGGTTTGAAAACAATCATTACAGAAACTGAATTCTCAGATGAAATTGACACTGACAGTTATGTTCCAAGCAGCAGCAGTAATGAAGAAACTCTTTCAGATCAGTCAGATGAGCTTCGAATGATGGGTAAGCATGAAACGCTGTACATGGCATTTACATCACTGTGGAAAACACATTTGGATTTTTAAAGCAACCAAATGTGTAAAGTGATATCATATATTTTACATATAGATTTGAGCATATGACAATCACAATGGGATACAGTAAAATTCGCATAAGTCGACACCGTCTAAGTCGTCAATTTGCGTAAGTCGACATGGAAGTCAAAGTCCCGATTCGCTCACATATTAAATCCATTGGAATAGCCCAGCCTAGGTCGACATATATATGTCGTCATTATGTAAAAGTCGACGCCCTCAGACAGGTCCCATGTAATACAAACAACAGTAATTTCCAATCTGTAAAGGCCCGCTTATGTCGGCCTACGATTTGACTATCGGCGACTACTTTATCGCCCGCGCGATTAGCAGCGTAGCAACACTCACGTCGACTTGAAGTGACTTCACGCTGTACATCGCCGATTAGATCGCAGCGTTCTGCAGGAAACGTAGACGGGTTTGCGGCCCCAGTATTTGTACTAGCACAAGCAGTTCTTTAGCCCAAACAGAGCAAGCTTTGTAACATGTGTTTTGTACGTGTTACATGGATTAGTCAGTGGAGCTAGACTAGTAGTTGTTTTAGCCATAGTCCAGCTAGACAGCGTCGCTCAACCAGATGCGCGGCTACATTGATGTATTAGGGAGAATGGCAGACGTGGTTAGGTTAGGCAGTTTCGAGAGTCAGTGTGAAATTGGGGTAGGACGTAGGCTCTGAGAACGGGTACATGTGCGGGCGGTATGTTTGTAGGAGTTTTGGGAGGTATTAGATAGGACAGAGATGGAGAGACTGGATGGTGGTTCTGGGCGCGAGAGTGAGCACACGCGCTTATGCGCGTGTGCGGCGTTCTTTGTCTGTGTGTAAGGAGATGTGATGTGTCTAAGCTATTAAAGATTGTACAGTTTACCACACAAGTTTGGATCTACTTCATCATTTCTACATGAACATTCATTCCTGTTTACAGCTTGACGCCGGGACCAATCCACATAAAACGAGTCACATGACCAACAAAATGGTGCTTACCAGTAAACATCAGGTAACTTCGTAAATCTATCCTCAATTTTCTGAAAATCGTTATAATTATGTGCAGAAAAAAAATTTAAAAAATTGCCTGTGATATACGGAAAACTTTAAATAAATATATATTTGAGAAAGGGTTTGTGCAATAATCCCTCCATGTAAACTGCATGCTGTGTACAGTGTAGGCTAGCTGCCATTTTGTTAATCACGTGACTTTTGATAATCATGTGACTCGACACGTAATAATACGACGGTAGCGGTGATTGGCTGCCACTCACGATTTGTCGCCGACCGCCGCATAGAAATAGAACCATTTATATTCCTGCGATTGCAGTCGGCGACCGCATTTTCGATCTTAAGAGAACTCATTTCGAGTTTAGTCGCCGATGTTTTTATCAGCGATCTGACCGGTTTTTGACGTACGATCTTCAAATTTTGTCGGAGACTAGGTCGTAAGGGCAACCTGAGTTAGCCTTAAAGGCCCGCTTAAATATATATATCGGCCTAACGACCTAGTCGCCAACAACATTTGAAAATTGGAAGCTAAAAAAATACGCCATTTGGGCAATTTTTAACATAATTGCAAGGTTGTACAAACAGGAGAAGGAGCCTTCCTGGTATATCTAGAGTCAACATAATATCATTTATTTATTTTGCACAACTCAAAATGGTGTCAATAAATCATATAAATATTTCTGTGTTAAATAGAAAGAATAGTTAAATAGACAAAAATAGAAAATACAGCCATTGGGTCTCTGAATGTCACATAGCCATTGGGCCTCTGAATGTCACACAGCCATTGGGTCTCTGAATGTCACACAGCAATTGGTCCTCAGAACGTCACACAGCAAATGGTTCTCTAAATGTCACACAGCCATTGGACCTCGGAATGTCACACAAAGGTCCTCAGACACCTGTTTTTTAAATATTTTTTTAAAGCCAAATACTTTCTTTCTAATAATGATAGGAATATTCTGATGTTGGTTTTAGACAGTGAGAAGGCTCTTATGATAGGACCCTACTGCATAGTTCTGTATACATATTATTTCATGTGGTCCTCGCTTCTCTCTTGAAATGTCATGGTCCTCACTTTACATCCGATGCCTGTATGTGTGTAGGTGTGTGTGTGTTAGATATGGTGGGGTTTGAAGATAGTTAAGGAGGAAATTTAGATTAGAGGGGCACTGAATCGATGATGTGACCGGTTTTTGACGTACGATCTTCAAATTTTGTCGGCGACTAGGTCGTAAGGGCAACCTGAGTTAGCCTTAAAGGCCCGCTTATATATATATATATATCGGCCTAACGACCTAGTCGCCAACAAGATTTGAAAATTGGAAGCTAAAAAAATACGCCTTTTGGGCAATTTTTAACATAATTGCAAGGTTGTACAAACAGGAGAAGAAGCCTTTCTGGTAGCTAAAAGACCACTGAAAGGAGAGAATGTTTTCACTTTAGCGCTAGGGTCGGTAAAGTAAAATGTCATGAAACAAATTAAAATGCTGGAACGTTACTTGCGGGTCGCTTTTGGGTTCAAGTTAAAAGTTGTGTTAAAAATATAGTTATGAAAAATAACAAGCTAGAGGAGAGAAAGATGCACTAAGAGGCTTCTGACGTCAGGCGGTTGCCAAGCGTGACTTTTGAAAACCTTGATAGTGTTTCTTTAAAATTGCCAAACGGTGTTGCAACTTGCAATTCAAAAACGCTGAATGTGGTATTATTGGATGCTGTATTAAAATTGCATAAAATTGTCCGTTTCCAAGTTCATTTAATAGAAAGAATCAGTACTTGCAACGTTATTAACCAGTTCTATTATACGAATGTGCAAAGAACATTAATAGAACAGTAGAAGAACATGGGAAATTCAATAATCAATAAATGCTCAATTATCAATAATATTCAAGTTTCGTGTTTGGTAAAACTATTTGTTATTTTTTCTACAAAAATACTGGGGTAAATTATATAGCCTTTGTTCTTAAAACCTACATGTTTAGTGAAACACATATGATACATAAACATCTTAATCAGAAATCAACAGACCACTCCTCAGTTTGATTTACACTCTAATAGTTTACAAGGGAGATATAGTGATCCACTAGAAGGCGCAGAGATAGTCAACATAATATCATTTATTTGTTTTGCACAACTCAAAATGGTGTCAATAAATCATATAAATATTTCTGTGTTAAATAGAAAGAATAGTTAAATAGACAAAAATAGAAAATACAGCCATTGGGCCTCTGAATGTCACATAGCCATTGGGCCTCTGAATGTCACACAGCCATTGGGTCTCTGAATGTCACACAGCAATTGGTCCTCAGAACGTCACACAGCAATTGGTCCTCTAAATGTCACACAGCCATTGGACCTCGGAATGCACACAAAGGTCCTCAGACACCTGTTTTTTTAATGTCTTTTTAAAGCCAATACTTTCTTTCTAATAATGATAGGAATATTCTGATGCTGGTTTTAGACAGTGGGAAGGCTGTTATGATAGGACCCTACTGCATAGTTCTGTATACATATTACTTCATGTGGTCCTCGCTTCTCTCTTGAAATGTCATGGTTCTCACTTTACATCCGATGCCTGTATGTGTGTAGGTGTGTGTGTGTTAGATATGGTGGGGTTTGAAGATAGTTAAAGAGGAAATTTAGATCAGCGGGGCACTGAATCGATGATGTGATCATCGTTTTGAATAAGGGGGAGGTAAATGTAACATGTGGTTTACAGAAGAGTCAGTAGAGTTAGACTAGGGGTTGTTTTAGTAATAGTTTATCCAGATGAGACGGGATACTAGAGAAGCATTGCCGAAAAGAGGTGTTGATCCGAAGTGCTGAGCGGACATCTTGCGCGCAGTTCCGCGGCAAGGCGCACGCGACCGCGGGAACGTCCTACGACAGTTTGCAGCGCTGGCAGCTATGGATCCGTGCGCCGAATGCATAGGCCGGCGCACGAATCCATAGCTGCCAGCGCTCAGTCCGCAATTTTAGTGGGGGAAACAGAGGGCAGACATTTGGAACGTGAACAGTGTTCACTTGTTATAAAAACTGTAACGTCTCTGTTCATAACCGAGCTGTGTCACGGCAAAATCACAGACTGACGAAATTCTCACGTTCGCGAACCTTGCCCAGTAATG